AGGGTATTGGAGAGCCTGACACAAGACAAGTTCATGGTGTGCCAGCCTTCTTGAATCATACCTATAGTCTCCATTGTAGTTCTTTTTTTGGTTTAACCAATTATATATTAAGGATTCTATAAGGTATCCCCAACAAGGAACTACAATGGAGACTACAGGTAGAGTCACAGTGATCAACCTATAAGTCTGCCTTCGCCAAGGCCAGCTCCATGCAAGGTACTTCATTTGCGGAGGAAGACACCGAGGACCCACGCCGTTTCTTGCCTCTTGGCCTTCTTTGCACCCGCACTTTAGCATTTAGGGTCGACCGCCGTTGTTTACCTGTTGGCCTCTTGGCTATCTTGATCCCGACACTTTAGCGTCTAGGGCTCGCAATCATCATGTTCAATCGGCACTGGGGACGGAAGCTTTCGTTCTGCGCGATGGAACACCTTGAAACCGTTTCAGTTGAAACCCCCAAACCTGAAAACCCCGAAACTCCAAGCCTCGAACCTTTCAGAGACCCCTAGCCCTAACCCTGAAACCCCAAGCCCTATAGGGCCCTAAACCCCAAAGACCAGATGTGTCAACAAGAAAAGCCCAAGGACCCAAACCTAAACCCTAAACCCTAAACCCTAAACCATAAACCCTAAACCCTAACCTTTGCTGAGCCAAGGTGGCGCTTCGGATACTTCCGGGGGCCTCCCCAGCCTGAGCTCACAGCACCTGGGCGACAGCAAACACGGAGCCCGTTTTAGGGTACCATAAGGGCTGTAGGGTTGGGGTTTAGGGTTTAGGGTTTAGGGTTTAGGGTTTAGGGTTTGGGTTTAGGGTTTAGGGGGCTTTATACAGGGGTTCTACAAGGGTCCTAGATGGATGCTTTTGAAGCATACAAGGGTCTTCTTCGGTGTGGGCTTTAGGGCTTAGGGTTCGTCATTTATATCCCGGGGTGCAGGACGGCCGAAGATTCGAAAGCTAAACGGCCGTAGAGTCTGGGGTTGCTTCCGGCCAGCACCAGCACTTTGGGCTTTGGGCTTCAAGGCTGTGAGGACTCAAGGGGCTGGATTGGTTCGTGTTGATGTAGGATCTTACCTATGGTCTCCATTGTAGTTCCTTTTGTGGTTTAACCAAGTATATATTAACGAGTTTATAAGGTATCCCCCAAAAGGAACTACAATGGAGACTATAGGTAACTGATGATACTTTAGGGTGTCAGCGCCCGCAGATTCAAGGATCCCTGCTGGCCTCGATGCTTGCCGAAACTCTGGGGTTCCGGTTTGAAGCAGGTCTTTGTCAGGGTCTAGAACCCTATGCTTCCAGGGACCTTATAGTTCGGGCCCTAGGCCACTTAAGGACCCCACAATAAGGTCCCTGGAAGCCTAGGGGAATGCAGGTTGAGCTTTTGAGGGGCTCGCAGAGTCTTCAAGGCATTGTTATGTGTGTTGCGCTGCTTTTTGTGTTCTTTCTCGGCGAGAGCCCTCGCATGTAAAGTTTTCAAAAACCAAGCAAGAAGATCCGAAAAAGTGGGCCAAATCTCAAGACTTTCACGATGGAGCTGGTGAGGTGGATGTCACGGGCCACAGCGAGTGCAGTGGCTCCTCCTGGCCTGACCCTCATGGGCTTGCTAGCGATGCTTCGGAGTTCAGGAGGTGGAATCCTTTCAATGCTCCTGCTTTCGTCACCCGGTGAGTTTCCCGTTCTTGAGATTGTCTTGGCGTTTCCCGCTGTTCTCGCACTAACATTACAAGCGTCACGGCTACACGTTCATTAGTGCACAGACACATTGAAACTTAGCTGCATCATCCCTGGGTCCGACTCATCCTGCATCCTACACCCCTGGGACGGGGAAGCTCCTGAAGCACATGAGGCTCCCCGGGCAAGAGAAAGACGAGCCCCTTGGACGAAGAGTGCAAGTAGCAAGCGGTTCAAGTTTAGTATAGGGGCCTTAATACATTACCTATATTGTTTTGGGGTTCCTTGTTATAACTGTAGTATAATGGGCCCCTACAGTAGGGGTTAGCGTGGATATAGGAATTGGGGCTAAAATTAGAATGCAACTTCGAGCCTCTAATCCAAAGCCGAGAGCCCACCCAAGCTCTAAAGTCGAAAGCCTAAACTCTTCGTTCCTCGCCCCAAATGTCCTAGAGTAACATCGAACGCCCTTTTAGGGCACAGATTCAGCTTCCGGACGTCATTTCCATTCGGATTCTGAGATGCTTTGCAGATGCTCTCCCACATGCCCATCCGGCACCGACATGAGTTGTTTTCGAGACCCTCATTCGACACAGGCATGCCTATGGCAACCTAAACTCTGTGTGCGATCCCCGAAGAAAGATGACTGGAAGGTGAGAGGCGAGAAGGTTAATTCGAAGCCCTCTTTGAAGTTTAACGTCGACGCGATAATTACGATGAAGCAGACTGACATCACACAGAGTTTAGGTTTTGTGGTTGAATGTTCACGGTGTAAGGGAGGGTTGCCCCAGACAGGAAATCCCCAGAACCTAGTCCCGAGGCGAAGACCCAGTGCACATCCCAGCAACGTCGACAGTACAGCGCCTCAATACAGACTGAAACCCCGGACCCGATAAGCCCTACCCACCCCTCACCCCCCGGCTGCTTTCTTTGCTTTAGACTCGGCTTTTTTCCAGCGAGAGCCGTGGCGTTCCATGCAGGAGCGACCCTATCCCGGACTCCTTTCTCCTAACACCCCCCCAACACCACAAGTCCTGAAAACCCCCTGCGCCCCAAACGCAAATTCTAAGTTCCAAACCTTCCCGAAACCCTGAACGGTCCAACCACCATAGACTTAGATAGACTTAAATGGTGAAGGTATTCGGTGGCGTGCACCTTGAGATGGAACTCGCAAGCAGACACCCGGGCGCCTAGGCTGCGGTCGTTTTGAGGAAGGGGTTCACGAAGTTGCGGCAGATTCCGTGGACTTGTTCACAGCTTGTGCAGTGCAATCCGTTTGGAATGCTCTAGGTCTAGGGTTGATTATGAGGATGCGGACAGATTTGTTCGGATAGGTTTGGTTTGAAGTTGCAGTTTCGGGTTCTATAATTATAAATATAGCCAAGGCCTCCAGACTTCCCACACATGGCTAAGCCCAATGCTTGAGGCCATAAACAGGGTCCTCGTAGCCTCCACCACCCATGCAGCCTTTCTTTGTGTGATGGCGTTTAGGCACAAGGTGTGCCTGCAGTGAAGGCGGACCCAGGATCCGGCTTATCTCCACTGTGGGTTTAGGGGTTAGGGTTTATGGTTTAGGGTTTAGGGTTTTGGTTTAGGGTTTAGGGATTTCAAAAAAGGGTTAGACCCTTCTAGACTTGAAAGCCCTTTATTGTAGCACCCTTTCCACCGTTCCGTGCTACACCTGCAGCTGAGGTATTGCAATGGAAGACCAAGATGAAGCTGTCCTACATGCGCGCCCGCCTGCACGACCGGATTAAGAAGGAGCGATAGATTTCATGGACAAGGGATTGTGTTTTTCGACCCTAAACCACAAGATATCTGTTCCTCTTTGAGGTGCGGTATTTTATGTTTTGACCCAAGTATGACCAGGGCAGCCACACTCAGGAGATAACTGGGTTATGTGTACGCATGTGTACGCTAATTCCTCTACCCTGAGGGTTGGTACCTATAGTCTCCATTGTAGTTCCTTTTTTTTGGTTTAACCAATTATATATTAAGGATTTTATAAGGTATCCCCAAAAAGGAACTACAATGGAGACTACAGGTAAGCCTCAGGTCCTACGGCTACGTGGTTCTAAAGCCTCAGGAGTGCCGGGAGAGAGCTTTATGGAAGCCATGGACCTAGCAACACAAAGGAAGCCCACAAGAACAGCCTCGGGCCCTCGTAGAAGGGTAGTACCGAAACCCTAAGACCTAAGACTCAGGGGTCTGAAATCCTTACCCCCCTACATCCTGATAGCTACAGTGCCCACACCCTGAACCTTAAAGCTACCCCAAATCCAGAATCCGAAATGCTCCAGGAGATGGGTGCAGAGTACAACGAGCACTTTCAGGTGTGCTGCCTTGTAGATTTGGGCAGGGTTTGGTTGGGTTTCGTTCAGGGTTCAGGGGTTTGTAGAAACAGAACAAGCCCACTCTCGAAGAAGAGCGCTGTACTTGCGTCTTTTCATTTTACGGTTGTGTTTGCTGCTTCTTCCTCTCCGGCTGCTGCATGTTTTCTCCAGCATTCAGGCAGCATCCGCGGAGACTAGATGCAAGCAGCCTTCGTCATGGTCTAACGGTGGCCTTACCATACCAGTGCCTCAGGACACGCGCTTTGCTCATCTCGGTGGAATGAAAGGCACGACAACGAGGCACCGAGAAGCTGGGTGTAGGCCATGAGGGTCGGGGTTTCGGGTTTGGGGTTTAGGGTTTAGGGTCGGGGTTTAGGGTTTAGGGTCTCTAGGGTTTAGGGTTTAGGGTCAGAGTTGGCTCTTCGGATTTGTTGTCTTAGAGCAAGACCAGCCGTGGTTCAACAACGTAGAACGTACGGGTGACCCGGATTTGTGTTCCAACGGCCAAGATGCTGCCATACCTTTTCGGCACAGCTGAAAGCCCTAAAGCCTCAAGGCCTCCAGGCCTCGCATCCGTTTAGATGGATATCCACAAGCGAGCCGATTTCAGTTTCAAAGGGGTGTGGGTTTAGAGTTTAGAGCTTAGGTCCTTAGGTTTCCGTGAGAGCATTGAAGCAAATTCCGACTTAGACGCCGCACCTTGCTGGGGAGCAGAAGAGCCCCCATATGTGAACATGAAGAGTATCGGCCAGCACTGTCAATCTGAACCCCTGTAGTCGAGATCCAGATTTCTTTAGCCAGGCTTGGCTTTCTCAGGTATCTTCACAGAACCCATCTTCCGCTCACGTTTTGGAGGGAAGACGACGAAAGCATAGCCCCGTCACTCTTTGAGGCTGCGAAATTGGTTTCAGACATTGACCGGCCTGGCAAATGAAGGCTCACGGCTCGGGCTGGTTGGGATTCGCTGGGGCTAGGAGAGCTGCTGATTCGTGTGGGATCGCCTGATGCTTCCAGCCAGACAGCTTGCGCGATGTTGTCAATATTACCTATTCTTAGGGAGCCATGTTCTTGTGTCAAGGCGTGTTCTCCGCAATAACAGCTCATGTGAAGAGCTTGGAAATAAAGCCCAGCATGGTGCCCCGGACACGACTACACTGTCTAGACGATGGGTGTGGATCGTCCATGCAGCCTCAACCCAAGCTATCTTAGCCAATTCGGCTGCGTGGGTTTCAGAAAAGAAAGGACCCTAAGATGGACCCAAATAGTAGGACCCTTATCCTGGGAATCCCTTCATGACGCACCCTCATGTTTCTGAAACCTGTCGTGTAGAGGTCACCTGAAGACTGAGCTTCTGGCGATGCTGCTCCGAGAGCTGCAGGCAGCGGACTTGAGTTTCTCTGTTGCTAATGCTAAGTCGTTCAAGGGGCTGTATAGGGCATAGAGTGCAGTTGCGCTCTCGCAGGGCCTTCAACATAGCCAGGCGATACATGTAAGCCTGATGTAAAAGACTTAGGGCATAGAGTAATCGTGAGGAGGTTGGATCTCAGTACGTCCAAAGGGGGTTTTCGGTAGCGGTTTGAAGGGCAACGGACCCTAAACCCTCAACTGCACCAGGTGCCCATCCCAGAGAAGAGCGATGCGGAACTGGACGAGTTTCTTGGCCCGCAAGACCCATCCCCGGAATAGCGGCTTTCAAGGTGGTAGGCTGCATTGCGTTCAGCTTTTGAAGGCTTCAAATCTGGGGATCTTGAAGGTGCAATCATGGGCCGACTGAGATGTCGGAGGATCTGCAACTTAACGCTCTAGAGCTTGGTTTCTAGGACTGCTCGAAAGGGAGTCTGAAACTCCTTTCAACTTCCGAACCACCGAAATTTGCTGTCAAAACTTGAGCTCGGGCTCGTCTTTCAACCTGACTGTACGCAGGAAATCCCACAAGTACTTGCACCTTACCAGGATCCATGTTCATAACTTTTCTGACTCAAGTTTGCAAGTTGTAATCGGCCTTAGAACTGCAATAATATAGGGGCCTTTATGATTACCTATATTATTTTGGGGGGGTCGTTTTTATATTTATAGTAGAGTGGGCCTCAAAACCCTATTCTATATATATATATATATATATTTTATAAAAAATTCTAATTATTGAGGCTCCTATATTAGACGGTGTGGAACAGCGAGCAGAGCCTCTAGCTGTGCGAAGCCTTGTCTTCGGCAAGGCTGCAGCAGCTGCTGGCCGCTTGGCAGTAGCTTCAGACACTCAGATACTCCTTGCCACAGTTCGTATTCGCAAAACTTAGGTCAGCAACAGCTAATCAAATTCCCATCGTTAAACGGTATCAGACCACCATACTTCGAATGGTCCTGATGCTCTGGCGCAAGACTGCATTCACGACGTCTCGACAAAGCCGAAGCAGCACATCCATTCGCGTTGCAGACTTTAGAGCGATGCGGTTGGGATTGCGAGTTGGGCGCTGGGATACAGAATGAGGACTTGGAGCTAAGGGCAGGAGTTATGCCTTGTACAGTTTCCGGGCTTAGTATGCAGATATTGCAATCTTAGGATCTGAGGTTTAGGGTGAAAGTTGAAAGGTATGAGCTTAGGATATGCTGTACTATTTGCTGCTATTGCGGTTGTGCTCCCAGTCTGTCAACTTCGCAGGGTTCGAAACTTCAAACCTGGAAGTCTCGTGTTCAACTTCCTTCACCCAGCGTTCGCCAGGAGCACTTCAGCGAAAGACTTTGCGCGGATCACCAGCTCTCTACTCCAAAGCCCATGCAAGCCCTAAACCCCAAACTGTCCGAGTTGCGAGAGCGTGAACCCTAAACCGCCTTCGCACCCTCATGAATCCGTGCCTGCCGCTGTGCAAGTCGAAACGAGTCGAAACGGCCTTCACTAAATTCCCCAAACCATAACCCTAAACCCTAAATTCCCCAAACCCTAAGCCCTAAAGTCCCTAAACCATAAGCCCTAAATTCCCTAAACCCTAAATTCCCAAAATCTGGAGGTGCCCATTGCAGAGGAAGCCAAGCCCAAGTCCCCGAGTCCGGCCCACCGGGCCAGAGACAACGACGTCCCACAGGAGCCTGAGGCTCCTGGGGAGCTTTAGGTTTTAGGGTTCAGGGTTTAGGGTTTAGGGCCTTTTCAGAAAGGAAGGAACCATACAGTAGGAATCGATAAGGGTGGTTAGGTTATGATAGTATACAAACGTTCTATCAGAGCTTGAAATAAAGGTGGGTGTTTAGGTTATGATACTTTACAAATGTTCTGTCAGAGCTCTAAATAAAGGTTGTTCTAAGGGCTTTGGATGAGGATTTCTTCGTTTCTAGGATGTTGCAAGGGATTTTATCAGCGGCTTTTGGGGCTTGTCAGTGGCTCCAGGGAGTCTTAATGCACGACCTCGCTCAACCAGGAACCCTCATCCCTTCAAGCTTTCCGCGTCCTACCAACATTAACAGACTAAACACTGGACTAAAGCACTTAAACCCTGAGCCCAAGAACCCTAAAACGACAGTGCTGCTTCGAGTACCGTTCACTTCTCACACACCGCAAGTGTCAAAATCATCCCTCAACCCCGAAAGTAAAAGCCCTAAAGCCGCAAGGCTTTTCTCATTGCATCTGCTTGTCAGGTTCCAGTGGAGCCCTACACAAACAAACGCTGCTCGCCAGAATTGGGGGGGGCATATACTGTTCAGAGTTCAGGGTTTGAGAATGTTGGCTCCAACATGCCGACTTCACGGCGACTCTCCCACGGAGCCTTTTGTGGCATTGTAGTAGTTATCCTAACAACAAAGCAACAGCAAACCCCCAAATAACTACAGTACGGGGTTCAATCGTTACAGGTAGGTTCGAAGCTGAGCAGTCACTGCCCTAATCCCTGGATCTTATAGATGCAAAGCCCTGCGAACCTCGAAGCTTGAGTTCCTAAGCCCCAAAACTCATGTACCGGTCCCTTTGAAGAATCAAGACCCTAGGTCTTGGGCTAAAGCCTTGCAGGGCCAGACTTTCATCATAAAGTTAAGCTGCAGGGCTTAGCTACCGAGTCACACGTTCTACGGTCGAGTGAGTCCGCAGTGAAGAGCGCTGCCAGTGTCATTAGCTAGCTCTACTTTGAACAGGATGCTCGATTAGGAAAGCATCGCTTCCCTGAAGTGCCTGTGTTTTTTGGATGGGGTCCTTATTGTAAGGATCCTATTATTTAGGGTACTATATTAGGGTCCCCTATTTTCGGAAACCCCCATATCTTAGGAGGTCGACAGTCAACCGGCGCATTGAAACCTGAGCTCAACCCGCAGCACTCAACCCGACGTCCAAGCTGTGGAAAACGGTGTTGAACTATGTAAGTGGTTCTGACATTGTGGAGGAGAAGGGCAATTAGTGTCAGACGAAGAACGAAAGAACCCTAAGCCCTAAACCCTAAACCTCATACAAGTATGGACTCAACAACGACGGCAGATCGTTGCTCAGATGGCCCGTTCGTGACGCACGCCCAGCACCTTGTGGTCGCCCTCTGAGCTACGCGGCAGACATCCATCCGCCTTTGGCATGTGGTTTGAAGCTTTTGAAGCAAGAGGGGCCCAAGCAAAGAGCGAACTTTTAAATTGTTGACGGCCAGGGGAGTTTCTAGAATCGGCAGTACTGTTCCTGAGTTCAGTTCTCATGTTTTGGGTTTGCCTTAATCCAAATTCGGAGCAGTCCTAGCGACTTAGAGAAAGGTTCATGGTATAAACCATGAGTATATATTGGCTAGATTGGGTTTGGGAATGGCGTTTAGGGTATATCGTCTTCGTGATGCTAAATACAGCTTGGCCAACAACCGGGCAGCGTCTGAGTTTGTGCTGGGTTCATGCGGGGTAGATTTAGCACCACATAATAGTGATGCACGCATGTTCCGTGCATTGGACTCATATCAAGAGTCCTGCACTTTCCTTAGCTACACGCTATCAATCCCTAAGGTATAGTTTCTGAATCATTGAGCAACCGAAAGAGCCAGTTGCGTGGGCACACTTCAGTAGACACAGCTGCCCCGCTGTGCACTGCGGAGCCTTTCACTGCAAGAGCCTGCCAGAAGATCTTTGGCAAAGGGCCGCGGGTTTTCCAACACATTCCTTCCAATCTTTAATACCCTAAGCCGTCTAGTTTATGTCGGTTGGGGGTTTGGGGTTTATGCTGAACCGATGCCCTCAAACTCGCAGAAGCAAAAGGTTCTGTTAGTCGGGCTTTTGGACATAGCACAACAACTCGCCGCCTGAGGAAACATGCAACCTTACCTTGTACCCTCACATCGGGTATATGGTCCCAATGGGCACTTAGTGTCGAATAGAGGGTATACGATGGAGGGTCTAAACAGTATCCCAGATAGAATGGTACTTTCAGGTGGAAGCTCTCTGTCCAAGCGCTTGGGCACAGAGTTGAGGGCTTGTGCGTTGATAGGATTTCGGCTGGAAGGGCTCAAAGCTTCGGGTTCGGCCTCGAGGGCCTTATCACGGTGGGACTGAGTTAGTATAGGGCATAGGGTTTTGGGTTTAGAGTTTTGGGTTTAGGGTTTTGGCTTTAGGGATTTGGTTTTAGAGTACTGCTGTGGGCTCCACCCCTGCCATGAGATGCAGACCTCAGTGATTGTAGTGTTCGTGTTGCAGCTTGCAACAAGGGAAGTACCGGGACAACCATAAGACTGGATGTGGGCTGTAGGCCATTGCAGGATGGCCTTCGGCGAGAGGCAAAAAATCTGACCTCAACGATTTTGGTATACCGACGTCCTAGCGGTACCTTGGGTATCTACTTTAAGCCGTTGTAGGATGCGGGTTGAAATCCAGCAGCCTAATCCCCTATACCTCTGACCATCTGTCAGGCTTCAAGGTGAGAGCTGTTTTTTTTAGGCTCCGCATTTCAGTGCCAGGGGCAGGTTGCGACATGAAGACTTCAGATGGTCGATGACTTTGGGGCGACCAGGGCCCGTGGGTCTGTTGTAACATTCTAGCATAGGGCCTCAATAATTACCTATACTATTTTGGGGGGTCCTTATCATAACTATAGTATTCGTAGAATATATCCCAAAGCCCTAGTCTAATTATTAAGGCCCCTACATTATGGCAAAAGCCATGAGATCTGCTTCAAGAGACTCAGAGAACTTGAGGTCGGAGACATCGAAGGTATAAGCTCAAGATATAATTAGATAGAAGCTACAGTTCGCGGTTTAGGGGCTTAGGCTTTTTGGGCATGAGGGTGTAGGGCTCATGTTTTGGACCTGCAGGCCTTCCCAGCCTCATAACGCCTTTATCTGACTCTAACAGCTCGAGCTCGTAACGGTCATGGGCTGGTCTTGCAGGCAGCCTTGCCCGAGCGTGTAGGCGTCGGGGAAAAGCCCACCGTGCACCGGACATGTACGTACGTAGGTGTTTGTGAACAGATTCTATTTTGCGGCAGGGTCCGAAGATGAACTGCCAGTCTTGCCTTCCTGGGTGCACCTCACTAAAAGCCGAAGTAACCACGTGGGGACGGGGTACTTGCATCTATATAGGTATTCAGGACCCTGAATCAGAAGCCCAGAAAGCCCACACAGAGCCCAAGAAACACCCTTATCGTTACAGCCAGGCGGCAAATCCCTTATGGAGCCCTATGCTATAGGGTTTGCTGGTATACCTCGACCTTCTGGAGAATAAAAGCGGCCGTGGAGCAGCGGATGACCCAGGGGTGAGCAGTGCCCAGGGGTTTCCGCGGTGTCCGGGGTTTTTCATTTTCAGGGTTGGGAACTCGGCGCTGAAATTCTTGTGGGCTTTTCCGGGATTCCGGGCTCAAGGATTTGCGGGTTGCAGGGGTTTGGGGTTTTGGGGTTCTGGAGCTCGGAGCTTCAGATGTCTCTGCTTTGGGGTGTCGGGTTGGCAGAGCTAAGAGAGCTAAGCTTCGGGATCAGGTAGTAGGAGGACTGAGGAGGAGATGCTTCGGGACACAAGCGCATAAAGTAGCAGCCTAGATCCTCGCTTCGATATCTGCGGCTGTCCCTACGATTTCTGACACGCTACTGACAGCTCTCTCCACTGGCGCTTCGTCTGCGAGTCTATGTCCTGTCTATCAAGCCCTCGACCCAAGCTCCGACGGCCATGCTTGGCTGCTTGATGTGCATAGGGAGGGCGAGCAACCGAGACTGACGGGCAGGCGGCCGGATCTTGAGCTTCAAGTGGGGCTTTCCCAAATTCTCCGAAGACTTTGCTATGTGAGATCTTCTTTTCCCATGGATGTTCGGCAACTGCCGTTTAGCGTGCAGATGTGTCTGTGCAGAGCTTGACAACAGCCGCAAATACTGGCCGCATGGTGTGTGCTACCTGAACCCTTTATAAAGCCTATCCAAATACCCACAGGCCCCATAGTAGTTCCTTTTTGGGGTTACCTTATAGGATTCTATATATGAACCCCATGAAAGGAACTACTTTAGGGCCTATGGGTAAAGCCTACATAAACTCTACCACTCGAAGTCATACACAATTCAATAAAGTGCAGGCAGCAACAGGTGGGCTGCTTGAATCTGGCGTTTTACATGTCGGCATTTCAGAATGAAGAAACGGAGATCGACTCTAACTGGCAGGATCCTTACGATTTAGAGGATGCCCAAGTAAAGAACCCTTTGCCACTAGTTGGTATAAGATACGCCATGTCATGACTAGCTGCAGGCAACAATGATTGTGAGAAGTGCCGGGCGTGGTGTTTGACCGACCTATCAAAGAAGCCGCATTTGCACTCAGTATTGTGGCGATCTGAACAATGGTAAATTAGTAACAGTATTCCCTTAAAGTCCCTACATGACGGATACTGTTATATGCTTGCCTGAACCCTATAGTCCAGATCAGATCAGGATTGAGGCCTTCATGTTAGGGTCTTGCTCTTTTGCTTCCGGACACTGGCCTTCTGCCCCCGGTTTCGGAGGTGAGCCCCACCAAGAATGCGTAGCCTTGCTCCACGTTGCAGCGTCCTGTGTACGTTGGCAACTTAACAATTCATGCACGCCCGGGCGTGCATGGAAGCATGGGGCCTAGGGGATTCACCAGGTTGTCATATAGGATTCGGCAAGAGCAGCAATAGCCATCCCCCTTTACAGTCTATGTAACTATACTCTTCTACACCCCCGCCCTCCCCACCCCACCCCCCTCCAAAGAAAACAAAAAAACAAATGCAACAATCTATACTGTGCTGTTGAGATCGGGGATCATGGTTGAGGTGGGTGTCGACTCGCACGGGCTGGTCAGGGTTTAAAAAGGCCCATCTGGGGAACCTGAACACTGTTTAGGGTCTAGGGTTTAGGGTTTAGGGTTTTGGGTTTTGGGTGTTGGTTTAGGGTTTAGGGTTTAGGGTGGCGAGTGATTGCCAGTTTGTACCAGACCCCTAGTGTAGGGTACCCATAGGCCCAATAGTATAGTTCCTTTTGGGGGATCATGTTTAGAATCCTAGAAGGTAATCCCAAAAAGGATCTACTATGGGGCCTATGGGTAAAACCATTCAAACTTTAAGCCCGCAGCTTTCTACTATTTGATGAGCTTGAATTATCCGGCAGCCCCTTGCTGGTAAGGCTTGGGAATCCCCTGCCCCGATCTCTGAGCCCCTTCAGCAGCACAGACAGCGCCGTGCGCCGACGCACTCATACGTGCGCGCGCAGTTACACCTGCTTTCAAAGGCGTATCAACCTCGGGACCCAGGAGCCCCTGTACGCAAAGTTAAGTAGTAAATACAGTTGAAGTGTATGTTTGTAGAGGTATATTATGTATGTCTACATATACATATCTCTAGAAGCCCTGATGTACAGGACTAGAATCATGATATTCCCCTGAGGGCCCTTTTGGGCTTCATTTGGTCTTCGAGGGAGTTCCGTGTTGCTGGGCGATGCCTTGCGTTTCAAGCTTGATATGGGATTCCAGCGCAAAAGAAGTCGCAGAAGGTTGTGTGCTGAAGTGGTGAAGTGGATACATAACACTGGTACGCTGTTTTTTCCGATGCAATGCAACCTGAAACCCTAAGCCTACACCGGAGGTCCATATATGGGGAGCAGGGGGATCAGCTTCTTTTCGGCGCCGTGTGGCCATGTTCAGAAAGAGAGGGCTTCTTCCCAGACCGACCGTTTGGGGTGATAAGCATTTCGCCTTTGAAACCCCCTGCAACACTGTACGCCGAACAGTGAGTCCAACATGTAGAAGATGCTTGCAGTGCAAAACCAAAAGCTTTGCCAGAATGCCTGAAAGTCTCGCGAAAAGCTCCCATAATAGCAAGGCGGAACAACGCATGAACTCAAGGAGCCCAAAACCCTAAACCCCTAAACCCCTAAACCCCTAAACCCTAAACCCTAAACCCTAAACCCTAAACCCAAAGCACTGTGGCAGGTGCGACTAGCCGATATCTTTTCCCGGAGTGCAGGCGACCGAGGGTATTCTTGGATTCCAGACGGGACAACTTGGGATCTTGTAGGGGGCTTAAGGGTTTAGGGTTTAGGGTTTAGGGTAATTTAAATTACCATAGTAGGGATCTAATTATCGTAAATAACAGGGCTTCCTCCTTATTTTTACTTAAAGCTAAGCCCCTTAACAGGAACCCAGCAACTTGATTCTCGAATCCTTGGGCTCCTTCCGTAGGACCGAGGATGCCTATGGCTCTTAAACCCTTCTTCTATATACCGAAACCCAAGAAGCCCCTTTCGCAAGAAGACTTTAGAAAAGTAGAGCCCATGGAACCCCTTAGAGCAAGACTAGAAACATAGCCTCGCTGCCGGGCATCCTAAACACTCAATCCCAAGCCCTATAAACCCCAAATCCCCAAGGACCCCGCGAACCACTACTCTTCATGGCTGTCGATGTGGCCGTTGACGGGGGCGACTGGGGCGACGGACGGCTCGCGGAGGCCTATTGTCTCTTTGTAGGATTTGCGGATGCACAGTGTTTGCTTCACCAATGAGTTGAATTGAACAGACAAGCCAAAGCCTAAATTCTGAGCCCTTGTGACAATACAGCTCATGCGGTAAGCCCCAGAACCTTAATCCATTACCTGCTGTGCGACATGGTCAGCTTGGGCGGGCGGGAAAAGCAAGGCAAGAAGGTTTCAAGCAAGGAACAAGCCTTAACTTGCAGCCAACAACTCAAACCATCTTTAACCCAACCCCAGAACTCCAAAACCACACCCCAAAACCTCAGAAATAAATCCATACCCCAACTCCTTAAACCCCAACCCCTCCACCTGCCCATAAAGCCGCAGTGCGGAAGGAACTCGAGCATGCAGAGACCTGGTCAGGTGCCGGCCCTACAAGCTTAACAGTGCTTTCCCAAAAGTTGGCAGGGGAAGTTGTGTTTGAAATCATGTTACTGCAGCACCAAGGAGGAAGTTATTATACAAAATTAAGGCAATTTAAGCAGAGGGTCCCCGAACTTCGGGTGCTGGAGTTAGGGGGTTGGGCGCTCTGTCTGTGTTTGCCTTGATGGCTTTGGGATGGGAGGGTCGGGGCGCGAGCAAGCGTGTGGCTTTCATGGGCCTCTGCAGCCCAGCACCGCAAAGGAACAAGAGCTTGGAGAGGTTGACAATTTAAATTTAGGGATCGTTGTCTAAGTCTTGAGTTTTTGTGCCGAGATGTGCTGTTCCAGGTCTGCTCGGATGGCTGGACAGAGGTGCCAAGCTTCTGGGGATGGGGTGTTCCGAACTCTTTCTCCAATCCTTTCGGACCCAGTACATTTCAAGCTTGGAGGTTCGCGGTGTGTTTCCTAGGAGCTCCCCTTAACACTGCACGAACTGACCTGCCAATTTTCCCGGCAAGTTAACGTGCATTGTATCGTCAGCTTCAGCCCGGCTTGGCCAGGTCTTTGACATGCACACCTACACACGAAAGCATCCACTCTCGAGATCTTGCTGAGACTGCCTTGCCACCACAGTGGCCTGCAAACATCTCCCGGAGCTGAATGCCAGGCGGCCGCCTCGTCGCTAACCTGGGCTCCCTCAGTCGAGGCACCCAGCACTTGCGCCAAGGGCGCCCGCTCTTTCTGCGGGGCTTGAATTCGATTCTGGGGCTACAGGCTACCCTGTCGTCGTGCACGCCTTTGGCCGCGTCTCCGGAGTGTGATCGTTCACATATCCCAACCACTAAGCTGTGAATCTGGCTCCTAAACAGTATAGCTAGCCCCATAAAGCGAAACTCTATCCTTCAGACAGCGCCCTACACCCGAAACCCCACCAGCAGAGAAAGGAGCAATCAACAGATGAAAAACTACGCACCAACAGACAACCCTCAAAGCAAGTCGACCTTCAAAGCAAATACATAAAGCACACGGAAACCATCCCACCATCTATAGACTATAGACCCTGCCAGCCTAAATCAGCCTTTATCGAGCTCTTGGTTGCTTAGCTAGATAGAAAAGCCCCCAAACCCTACGTGCCAGCAGACGACCTTAACTCCGAACCACTAAATTTAAAAAACATCGCTACAGACCTTGCCGGGCTTGGTCCGAGAGTGAATGTCAAAACAAAACCCTAAGCCCTAAGCCCTAAACCCTAAACCCTAAACCCTAAACTATCTCCCTTTAAACCGTTACGATTCACCGGGAAGACGTTACTGCACTGCACCGAACCCTGGACCCAGCGGAGAGTTGTAATGGTAGCATTCACTGTAATGGGGGCGGCATCGACCCCTGCTTGTGTTCGAGAGTGTCTTGAGGCTGTTGGTTTTGATTTCCCGCATAGTTACGAGTGCGAGTTTCATGCCGCTCAACCGCTGGGGCCAGGGCAGTTGTCTCAACGACATTTGACGTTTGGGACAGAGAAGAAGACAGGGATCTGGGAAGTCGGTAGGCTTAAACATGATAAGCCATTGGTCGTGTCTGTTTCTGACAGCGACGATGAGCTCCCAGATACTTGCCTGGACTCTTTGACTCCCACCCCTCATAGGTTGGAGTCACAAGAAACTGTCATCATGTCAGGTGCGGTAATGGGGGCCTAGGTATGCTTTCAGCATTGCTCCAACCGTCGTGTTGTGTGTAAGACGCAACTGAGCCACAGGCTCTGTCTGTTTTAAAGAGCAGTCGGTTGAAGCCATTATCTTGTAGACTAACATAGATGATAGTGCTATCCGTTTGTTGTTTCCTGCTTCTGTAGTCCTCGCCCTCTCTCTTCTCCCCATCCTCCCTAGAGCCCTACAATACCCACATGTTTTCAGCATGTTTTAGCCTTGTGGTGCCGTTGGATTAAATAAGGGTAGCATTTGCGGGTTGTCTAGTGACTTTCCTTGGTGGAACATTGGGACCATGTATAGGCATTGAGTGCACCCTAGAAACCACTAACCCTCGCCGCTGCTGTCGCCATGGGGGATGCTTTGAGGGTAGCCCACGGAGATGGTGCATGGCGATGGGGCTGGGAGTTCCGGGCACAATAAAACAGCTGGACGAGAGGTCAAGAGAGCGAGCTGACTGACTGCATGAATGAAAGAATGCAACAGAACGCATTGGTGGGAATTTACAAGGGCACTACGACAGGTTTTCCGTATGAGGATGCTGTTCATGGGCGGCCGGATACCAGCGGCCTTATTGCATGCTGCATGGACGGTTTATTTGCCACCTGCGTGACTGCATGTTTGTGCGACTGAGTCTTTGCGCAGCTTGGATGGCTCCTGAGTGATCCTCCTTTATGGGCGGAAACTCTGCAGACTGCATGAGTGCGCAATGCAACGCGAGATGGTTATGCCAAGAATCGTTTCTGCTGGTAATCAACATGGGCTGTAACTCTTGTGGTAAGAGGACTGCCGCAATGAAGTCTTGACGATTGCCCAACATGCCCAAGCTGGCGATTGATTGGCCGTAACAGTGCGTCTGGTCTGAGCATACCTGAGACTCAGTGAAGGCTTTTTGCATGAGAAGGCGTAATTGGAGAATTTAGTGCATGTAATTTGAAATGTTGTAGGCTCCCAGGTTGCACTACGGTGTGTGCTACTTTCTGCAGCGTGTCTTTTAGCAGTATCGAAGTTTCACAGCTGTTAACCAAGGAGGAAGATCGCTTTCACCTGAGCTGTCCCGGCTCGACAGGTAACCTTTTAGGTTCGTTATACTTACCCTAGTCCCCCATGTAGCCTCCTCGGCGTAGTGACCGAAGTCTGCGAACTAGTTACAGTATCGCCGTGGACTTTGGTTTGCACATGCGATTCGATGTCTCTTAGAGGTTCTCTATCTTAGGGGCCCGTCTTGTTGCTGAGCTTGCATGTGCAGTCGTTTCACTTTGCTGCTGGCTCACCATTTGCCTCGCCTGGATTGTCCGAGTGTGAGAGCCGAAACCCTAAACCCAATACAAAAAAACTGACTCTCTGATGACAGGCCTGAGCCTGCGATCGCATGCGGCCCTGAGAGCACTGACTGCGGCGGCAGAGGCGAAGTCCCTGAAGGCCTGCAGGATATGTAGTATCATATGGGTAGTTTTTCTAAATTAGGGTCCCTTTTGGGGGTCCATATTATAATAAGGGTGCCGTACTATATTGGGGACCTAAAAGGGGGCCCTAATTTTGAGAACTACCCATATTGAAATTGGTAGATCAGATTATATAGATTTTTCACTTGGGCTCAGGGTTACAGTCTATAGGTCTTTTTTGTGTCTGGGGTTTCAGAGGTTAATGTATTCAGCATGGCCTTGGGCTTTTCAGGGCTGGTGTTGAAGGGTTTGGAGTCCAAAGGTTCGACGTTTGGGCTTTCTGGCTGTTTGGGCGATGGTGCTGGACTCTGAACCCTGATGTTGGTACTGGGGGCCAAATGAAGCACGAAGCTCACAACCTCCTGCACCTTAGCCTGAAGCCTTCATGAAACACAAACCCTTCTCATCCGTCAAAGATCCGAGTCTGAAGACCCAACTGTCATTATTCTCATATTCGAGAGCTGTTAAGGTCAGCCCTCAGCATCCACAGAACAAACGCAGTTTTGTTCGGTTGGCGCCGGTCACGTTGATGCTGTGCGCTTTCTATAGATGGGCGGAGCTGCCACGATTTACGGCGCAACGGTGGGGAATGGATGACCGTATAGCTCATTTAACTGCAGGGTTTCGGGACGCAGTGCCTGCTGAATTGCTGCTTACAGGGCTTGAGGTTCAGACGATTGAGTTTTCGAGACTTGCTTAGCTAATCTCAGTCTATCTTCGATCTTTTTTCGTGATTTTTGGCACGGCATGAGTCCTTGCTGCATTAAGAAGGATGCGAGAAACAGGAAGCATCCGGATCAGTGTCTGAAGCTGCCTCTGTAAGGCTGTACAGAGGCAGCCGACTTCTGATTGGTTTTCCCCATCGGAATAATCAAGAAGCGAACGATCGTGCCAGTGACAGTGCTGGCAGCTATCCTATTACGAGTCGTTTTGTCGGAGCCAAAGTAGGTCTTTCTCCCTGATACGAGCTCGGCAAGGTCTGGCTGACAAGATATGCGAACAGCCAGGAGGACAGGTGCTTGCCGACTCGAAACAAGAGGGGGATCAATAGCAACTGCGACACTGGCTTCCGACTGGTATGTCGGATGACTTATATAGCTGTCCAAACTTTGCATCATGCAGCTCCTGTCGGTGCCAACCCGAAACAATTCAAACACGAAGCCACACCTATCTCCTTTATTCTGACCAAGCGTGTCACATCTCGACTCTGGTTCGATAAGGCTGCACCACCCCGCAGCACCCCTTTCACTCCAAACCAATCTCTGAGACTGGTTGGCTCAGGCAAGCCACCCGCTATTGCGAGGTCTTGTTGAAGGGTAAGTTTTAGCTACCATATCTGTGGAGTATCTGGGATACGCGGTGGGTAACATGCGCCACTCGTTCCTTGGCTTCAGTTACCGTGATGACTAGTATGCTCTCCTTTTATCTGGTAACTTGCATTTGGGTAGTTCTCTAAATCGGGGTCCCTTTTTAGGTCCCCAATATAGTACGACACCCTTATAGAAAGGACCAAAAAAGGGACCTTAACTTAGAGAACTACCCATTTAGTTCCTCAACAAGAACTCGGTCGTTTTGTTGAAATTCCTGTCGGCTCGGAGGATGTCCCGGTTTTCGATGGCTTCGACACTCTCCAGGATGACTGTGCCGATCTTATCTCTCCGTTGTTGATGTAAGACTTTTAGGGTATGGGGTTTTAGGGTTTAGGGTTTGGGGTTTTAGGGTTTAGGGTTTTGCTTGAAGGGGTACTCGGAGTCCCCCAATCTCACAGTCCATACATCGAAGTTGTGTAGAGTCAGATGCTCTCACCTTGTGCTGGCGGCGTGCATGCCCTTTCACTGTTAGAGCTCTGTGGTTGCCTTCCATTGACACAAACATCTGGGCGAAACCTTGAGTGCATGGTCCCTGTCAAGGAGTTGGCAGACCCATCAACATGAGCATTGCAGTACCCTTCTCCATCGCATCGCGTCTGCCACCACCAATGTGCACTGAGACCATTCACCCTGGCGGTAGGCTTTGTGAAAGGCTGATACTGGCAAGTACGGCTTTGGGTGGATGTGATCGTCTGCTCGCGACTGCCCAACTCACATATACAATTTAGGGCTTAGGGCGCAATGTAGGGCTTAGAGCGCTATGCTTATTTTGGCCGAAGTTCGTTTGCGAACAGTTGAGGTCAAGATGCCAATTTGCTTGCCATGATCGGCACAGAGTTTTCGGATGCAGCTTGGGACGACGTGCAGCGAGGTGCCTTGAGAAAATCTTGCAAGGGCTTGGGGCCAAAGGGTAGAACGGCAGGGTCTTGGGCTGCCATAGCCAGGTTCTTGGTGAGGCTCTGTCTTCGTTTCTTGTGGCCGATCCCGGCATTCCTGACATGTCGAAACCAAACGTCGTTCGCTTGGTCCGGAGCGCGCCCGGCAGGTTCTGAGGATCAGATATCCTGACGTCTTGATTCCGAACCCAGTCAATTCTCCGTGGCAATCTTACAAACCCTAAGGATCCCAGGTACTGTTATGGGGGATACTTCCCCGAATCATAATAGTAATTCCTAATTTAGAAGCCCTACATTCTACAATATAGGTACTTAGGACTCTTAAAGAAACACCAGAAGTGCTGGTGGACATCTTCAAGCCCGACGCTGCGATTTGCTCGCGTTTTGCTTGGCAGGTCGCTTGCACAGGCGCTGCGCTCAGGATTTCTGGATGTGGCAGCTAGGATATGGGGGTCTCCGAAAATAAGGGGTACCTTTTTGGGGTTCTTATAATAAGGATCCTACTATGTAGGGTTCTACATTAGGGTCCCCTATAATCTGAAACCCCCATATGCTGATTTCGGTGCAGGATTTGTGGTAACGTGACTGGGATGTAGCTTAGGGTTCTGCAGTCGGGATGCAAGTTCGAGCTCTTCCAGGGTCCGGGGGTTCCTTATTTGGTTTCGAGTTTAGGTGGTTGCAGTCAGGATTCAGGAATGAGATGCGCAGCAAACAATGCAGACAGAGATACCAAGAGAGCCAGACAGCAGCAAGAACAGGGGAGCAACGGAAGAACCAATAATGCAAAATCACAGCAAGATGGAGTCGTACGAATTGGCTGAAGGGTATTGCGCCAAAGCATGTTCAGCAGATCGCTCGGCTTCTCCACAACAGAGTCTAGCAAGCTAGGCTTTCCGGCACGCCTGAATTAGGATACCGTGTAAGCCCTCAAACCCGAGGCCCTTCCTAAATCCACTCTTGGATTCCTTCCTTCCGCAACGTCAGAAACCCCGAACCAGCTTTCGCAGACTCAATCCCTGTCCCTGGGAAGGCCAGTCAGCTGGAGCCTGTTCGTGCCGAAGGAATGGACAAAAAGTCAAGAGTGAAGCTGGAGGGTTTGGGATCTGTAGGGAATGAAAGTAAACCCGCCTTACAGGCGTTGAGCGAATCTGTTTCGTTCCTGTTTTTGTATATAATGTAGAACCTTGAGCTTTGTGGGCCAACGCCGCCAGATCCCTGCATGCGATCCTCGGTGGAATTCCCATATGATACCCACAGACCCCCCTAAACCCTAAACCTATAAACCCTAAACCCTAAACCCCTAAACCCCTAAACCCCTAAACCCCTAAACCCAACCCATAGTTACAGGGATCTTGAGCCCTTTGAGCCCTGAACTCTTGCACGGCCGCAGCGTGATGGCTTCAGCTGTTTCTCCTGTGTTAAGTTCGATCCAAGTTTCTTTGACAAGGGGCCCGGTCAAAGCAGTTTGTTTGTTTCTTATGATGTCTATGTTCAACAAACTTCGCATGCAGATAAGGGAGGTCAGGATGCAGATTGTTGATTTTTGCTTTTTCCGCTCGGCCAGTCAGAGCTGAGAGGCGTGATTGCCACACGTGCAACATAGCACCCAACCGCATTTCGCAATGTGGGCAGATGCTGTGGATGCGTATTTCTCAAATCTCGTTATCCCCATTGGCATGAATGTGTTCCTGGCCATCATGCTCTTCTGTGTTCTCCTCGCAGCACATGAGGCCCATGTGGCGGCGGGTGCAAGGCCGCTGTTCGCAAATCATGAGCGAAGCAACCACGTGGCCCTCCAAGTTGTGATTGTTCTTTCCTGGGTTATCATGTTCATGAACGTGGCTTTGCTGGTTCCTGTGTCTCTGGATTTTTCACGGGCGATGGGCCAGTCAGCCACGGCCAGTGGTGTCTTCATTGGTGGAGGTACGGCATTTTCATTGGCAGGCTTGATGGCAGGCAAACCTCTTACCAGCGAGGTCAACTGGAACCAGCGCCTGGCCAGAGGCATCTTTCTGGTATGCAATTCGCTTTGCTCCTGGACCAATTTTGCAAAACGTTCTGTGCGGTTATAAACGGGAGCGTTATCATGATCACCTCGCAGCCTCGACCTTAAAGATGTTTTACAACCTGGCTGAACCAGGACATGCAAGCTTCAAAACAAAATATCTTTATACAGTTCATTTAATTATAGTTAACCACCACATAGACCCGCCTTGATACCCGGTACTTACGGAATAGGGAACAGGAGTGACTGGACTAGTCCATCGTGGAATTTGTACCTACTTGTCGCCTACACCGTACTGCGGAAACTCTTCGCAAACAAACCCTAAGCTGGCCCTTGAACGCAAAGCCTTACACCCCAGAATAACCCACATCCAGGTTTGGTTACTCTTGTGGGGATGGCAATCTTGGTGGAAACTGCTGCACCCTGGAGCCTTAACACGAGGCGCTGGGCTTTTTGGCTGATCGTCTTGCTCAACGGCATGGCGGGGGACTCCAATAAGGGGTTTCCAAAATAGGGGACCCTAATATAGTACCCTAAAGAATAGGATCCTTATAAGGACCCAAAATAAGGTTCCCATAAGGGTTTAGGGTTTCAGAGCTACGATGCTAGGGTTGATGGGTTTAGGCCCTTCGGGGTTTGAGTTAGGCTTCAGGGCGAAGGGGGTGGCTTTTGGGTTGAGAGCGGATTACACGATGCACAGTAAGCGATTTAGGGTTGGGAAGCCACTCTCATCGGTGCTGCTGATATTGCAGGTGCACCGATTTCTGCATTTTGCCTTTTGGGGTCGCTGTGGCAAAGAGGTATCATTGGGACCGTTTCGCGAGATCATAGGTATAGGCGGGGATCTTGGTCCGCATTGGTTCTTACGGGAACAACAGTTTGCGGGGTCCGTGGGTTACTACAAGTTACCTACAGTCTCCATTGTAGTTCCTTTTTGGGGATACCTTATAAACTCGTTAATACATTTTGGTTGAACCAACAAAAGGAACTACAATGGAGACTATAGGTAAATTGGAAGATCGCCTTAGCTCGGCAAGTGTCCAGGTGGCATTTCTGAAGGCAGTCTGGCTGCTGTCATGGACAACAATGTGGCAAATAATCACGCCAGCCAGCCAGAAGACTTTTTGGCAGATGATGGCGCAGTGCGGTGGGGGCCTTGCGAAATCATAGATATAGGTTAGGGCTTGGGCATGACCTCAACCTCATCTTGCGCCAGTTTTGGTTCCTGAACCTTACATGTTGCCGAGTGAAAGGTCGAAATGGAGGCTTTGTCCTGGGCCCGGTGGCCTTCGCTGGGCTAAGCTTCCTGGTGCCTGGGCCATTGCCGGACATACGAGGGTTTAGGGTTTAGGGTTTAGGGGTTTAGGGGTTTAGGGTTTAGGGGTTTAGGGGTTTAGGGTTTCGGGTTTCGGGGTCTTTCTCCAATCTAGACCGGATACCCAGGTGGAGCAAGGTCGGGATGTGTCACCTATCAGCATGATGAGCTGGGCCATTATAGGGCTGGTGGTGCTGCAAGCTGTGGAACTCGCTTGCGCTTCGCTGTTCTATCCGACTGTTCTCAACGACACGTCTCTTGGCTGCCATTTACCAGAACGTGGAGCTTGGGCTGTTTCGGGGTTAGTCACTTTCTTGGCATTCAGTCTGCGAAAGAAGCCGTTGAGATATCGAGCAACTGAGGGCTGAGAAGGGGCCTGAGGTGACCAGTCCTGAAACAGAGGAAGCTGGTCTCATGCTGCCGCCAGAGCAGTTGCCTCCAGAGTCCCGGGAGTTAATCGTGAAATACATGATTGTATACAGCCACTCGGCCATT